GACTTGCTTTTAATCCTAAACATCGACACAAACTCCATCTAATGTGCAGTCATCTTTTTCAAACAGTGTGTGTGTGTGTGTGATCCTCCAACTGGTGATGAGCTCTGCAGTGTGTCGGGAGGGGGGGAAATCTTTTTAATCTACCTGTTTTCTGCTGAAACATGCTCTCCTCTTTTACTGCAGGTTATAGCAGATACTCCTGTGCACTACTGCCATCTACTGGAGACAGATGCATGTGCAGAAAAAAACGTCTCATCCTCCCTTCTCTTTTCTTCTTATTCAGCTTCTTTCAGGATTCTCTTCAACGTTTCCTTAACTCTCCCCTCTCCTCTTTTTTATCAACTGTTTCAGAAGCCAAAAAACAAACAAAAAAACAAACAAAAAACAAACGGGATACAGTTATTTATTTTAATTCTGCTACATTTCTGATACAGAAGCTCTGCTTTGTATCAAACATGTTAAACAAAGAAAATCAACAGACCCCAGCCTGACACACTGATACAGGTGCATTCTGGGATATTACATTATTTTTCTATGATATATTTCTGTATCATAACATTTGACCATTCAAAGGAAAATTGTGTTTTGTTACATCTCACACAGCAGACATTTAACCCTCCTCCTGGTTTCAATATCCAACGAAAGTTTGTTTTTCTGCTTTCAAGTAGGGTGACTGTCACTTTACCAAACAGACAGTTTGTTGTTTGGCCCATCGAATGTGTTGACTGTACTGAGAGAATACAGGAGTGTCTGATGGTTGAGTTTAAAGGCTTATTTGGGTCATTTTAACCATTGCAGGATTCTGTTTATCTCAACATATTTCTTGGGTTCTGAATGACTGAAGAGTAGAACATGTTTAAAAGTCACTTCAATACATTGTGTCTGCCAGCTGCTATGATACAGGCTGTGGTGGCTTCCACGTTTCTTAAAAGACTGTTTTACAAATCTGTGTGCACGGTTTTTAATACATGCCCTAGGATTTCATAAACTTTGGGAACAGATTTGTAGAACTGTGCACAGAGTTCTGCAAACTGCAGGCACAGTTTTGTTAACTGCGAGGATCTGCAATCTGAAAGTATGAATCCATTAAACCAGTTTACAAAACTGTTCCCAAAGTTTGCAAATCCATGTGCATAATTTACAAATTTTGGTGCACGGATTATAAATCCTGCACACAGATTTGTGAACCCTGGGAAATCATTTACCAACGGCTTTTATCTTTTCCTTATCTGAGCTTTCAGGGGCTCAGCAGTTCATAAAACATGTTAGCTGATTAATAGAAATGATCTTATCTGTGCCAAAGGTTTGTCTCTGTAGTGATTATTTCTGTAATGTTGTTAAACTCTTTTGATAACAATTTGAGCCTGTCAATGGCAGTAAATACACTTTAAGAAGACCAACAATGATCAGTCCATCTGTCCCAGAGGATACTGTTACAGTCAACCTATTCTGGTTCTAGCTGCCAAACAGAATACTTAATGGCTGCTAAAACTTTTTTGTACCTTCTGGACTGTACTGCAGTCCAAATTCTGTAAAGAGCCGTCTCCCCCTGCCCCCTCCTCTCTAGAGTCGAGGCTCACGCAGGTTGCCATGTGGTGGACACTGAAGCTTCAGTGTTTAGCCAGCTCTGCATCAGTCTGTAAACCTTTCTGCGTTCTAACCTCTCTCCAATATTGATCCTAGTTTGAGCACGTTTCTGCTTATTAGAAACATGCAGAGGCTTTTTAGGTTGGGTACAATCACTTCTATCTGAACCACTTCTCTTGCCCGCTTCCATCGCTGCAACACCTGTTAGTTTGACCTGATAACTGGTCTCACATCTGGCAAACCGAGGGGCGTCCAAAACAGCAGTGTGTGGGTGCCTTACAATCTCCTACCTTCTCTGGTCCACACAAATCCAGAGCATTTAGGACCAGAATCTAAATTTAGAAGGAGGACATACTGGCTGCTGCATTGTTGTCAGAGAAGCCAGCACTTCAACATAGCATGTTTCCTATGCTAAGGGGCGGCAGTTGTAAGGTGTGACCTTCATGAAACCATTTGAAGGGTTAAAGATATCATGTTGTCCTGTGAGGTTGTAAAAAAAACACAATTTTCCTTTAGATGTCTTACCCTGTGTGGAAACATACAATGTGGCATAGTTGATAAAAATCAAGAGCCTGCTAACAAAATGTTACCTAGCACCACACACAACTTAGAAACACAAACGCTCTCTCTGTTATTCAGCTAAATCTAAAGGAGAGCGGTGCATATCAAACCAGATATTATACATTACGATGCATATTAATCAACAGTTAAAAAGTTTGATGCTCAGTGGGCATCCATACCGGTATCTTCCTGTGGCCTGTACAGACGTATAATTAAAATATTTAAAGAAGCGCTAAACCAATAAGCTGCATGAATGGAGAATATGGTGTCGTCAGCGTATGGGATTATGTGAGGGGGTGGAGAGTAAGTACACGAGAACAGAAAGGAACAGCCCAAATGAAACCTTATAAAACAGAATCTGCAGTGACATGCCATCATCTTCAAACTACACACAGTGAACAACAATAAAAATACAGGAACGTTATTGCTAGGCATTCACATTTTGGCTGATGTTACACATACATCTGCCAGAAATACATTTTTTACTGGGCTTTGGACCTCAAGACTTACGATGTGTTGTGGGCAAGCAAGTGGCAAAATGTAAAAAAAAAATGACATCATGTTATTGACAGTGTGACGTAATGACTTTTGAAGTACTATCCTTGATGATTCAGTATCTGTTCTGACCAATATAAACGTGGCTGAAGCTCTTTCCACTCGGACGCTTAGTTCATGGTTACAAACTAAACCAAAAGTACAACTTTATATGTCAACAGTGCAACAGCTTATTGCAACTCATATTAACCCTCGCCTTTATTTGCCCTGATGATAGTATGCCCTGATAAGAGGTGGTTGTCATGTGAAGTAGTGCAAAGAACATCAAAGTCGGTTTGGGTTCAACAAACATGAGACTCCACCCAAGAACACAGGTCACACTTTGCAACATCAGAAAACTGACTTTAGATACCATCACTTAAGTTACACAAAGTGAGTGAAGTAACCATTTAACCAATGTAAGAAGGGTACACATTTCATCACCTCACCACACCCTTTCTAGATCGGCTTAATGTGACCTATTTATGCCTTAACCTCAACAAACTTTTCTTGAACTTAATCATGTGTTTTAGGTTTGTTAGACATTATTCAAAGGAGATCTATTATCCTCACTTTCCCCATTAATGATGTCAGTTGTCCCAGACCTGTTAAGTAGCGTTGTGAGATGTGCCACTCAAAAACCTCCTTATTTATCCCATACTAGAGTCAGTAAAATCCTTCATTTCAGCCTCTGCCTGAAAAGCTTAATTTCAGTTACTGTCTCTTTAAGCGCCCCCTCCTCACATGCCAACTCTTTCTAGTTCTAGTTCTAGTTGGGCATTCCTTGAACGAGCTGCCAGGGTGGGCGTGTGCTACAACTTTGCTCCATGCTTTGCTCTAGTTTGTCAGCTGGCCAAGTCTCCCTAAATTGTCATAACGTCTTGTTCAGAGTAGCAGGAAACTGCGTCCTGGGATCATGGCGACAACTGTGTTTGCCGTGTTAACAAAAACGTTGCAGAGGTTTAGTTTGGACATCCTACATCATAACATTATATGTATGAATTTAAATATGGATCAGCAGAATAGATCTCCTTTAAAGCTCAAGTAGAGAAAACTACCAGCAGCTTGTTGAACCCAGGAAATAGCCAATAACTGTCTAAGATTTTGGGGTGTGCCAATGATCTTCCAAGGGGGGCCCATATGCAACCACTGGCCAATCCTCTGGATACGCCCCTGCTACTTTTCCTCTAATCTACTTCTTTTTAATTGAACAAAGTAAGGATTTAGATGAAAGTCAAGTCTCTCAGCAGTCTGTCTAAAAACACAAGTAGGAACATGTGTGAACACACAAGCTACCAGGTCGGCAGTAAAGAGGCAGTAGTGCAATTTAGTTTTTTTTGTACCACTTCACCAAAGTTCACTCTGATGCATAGATTCTATATTGCTCTTATTGTTACCCTGTCCTTGTTATATTGCTTGCATTTAGCTGGTTGAAAGCTCTCATGTCTTATGGCCTTAATGATACGAGTTTAAATAGTAATAAGCTCACTCTCTCTCTTTTTTTGGCTTCGTCTTATTTCAGGTGCTACATAAAATCAGCTGCAGGAATTAGTCCAAAAATGCTCTATTGACTGAGTATTTTTGGTTAGATCAATGGATAAAATGTGTTTGACAGATTCAGCTGTAACATGTTCAAACCCCCTGATAAACTGACTGAGAGAAAAAGGTACCTGCACTTTCCTGCCAGGGCCACCAGGTGGTGCTACAGGCTAACTGCTACATTATCGTGGCTCAGCTCTTTCTGAGGACAGAAGTCACTGTTTGAAGGATGAAAGGCAGAAGGAGGAAGAAATACGTCATGGTGGATAAACATACATTTGCAAAGAAAACTTTTCGTTTTTTCTGTTCAGTGTGAAGAAGAAGTTGTTCCCATGTGAGAGAAGCTGTGCAATCACAGAGTAATGTCGATAAACTGCAGCTTGTGGGGGTAATGTCACAAAGAAGAAGATTGAAAGGGTTGTGTATCGAAACACAAACAGATGTAAGCTGTGTTGGTGCTTACATTTGCTTTACTTGTGCAGATTAACTTCCTGTGGTTCGTCTTTGTTCTTCCAATCAAAGAGTTTTTGATTTATTTTAAAAGTCAACCAAGTAGAAAGAAAAGTGAAGAAATGCAATCAACGAGTCTTTAAAGAACAATCATGGTGTCCATTTTTAAAACCTTTCTGCTTATCAATAAATAATTCAGATTGCACAGTGGTGCAGTGGTTAGCGCTGTGGCCTCACAGCGAGGAGGTTCCTGGTTTGAATCCCCGTCTGACAGGAGCCTTTCTGTGTGGAGTTTGCATGTTCTCCTCGTGTGTGGCATGTGTGGGTTCTCTCTGGGTACTCCGGCTTCCTCTCACAGTCTAAAGACATGCTCGTTAGGTTAACTGCTGACTCTAAATGTGAATGTGAGCGTGGCTGGTTTTCTGTCTCTATATGTCAGCTCTGTGATTGACAGGTGAACAGTCCAGGGTGTAACCCCGCCTCTCACCTAATGACAGCTGGGATCGGCTGCAGCCCCATGCGACCCCGAGCGGGAAAAGCGATATAGATAATGGATAGATGAATAATAATGAATTCAATCTGCCTGAGAAGAGACGAGAGTATGATGTGGTGTTCAGAAACATGAATCTGGATTCTAAGAACCTGAGTGATGAATTCTGCAGACATCAGGGGGAGAAAACGACGAGACAAATGAACCCAGCTACACTTGAAACACGTTGGTTGCTTTGGAAATGTGATGTCTAAGTGCCAAAGTCCAGTGTCATGCGCCCTGGATGACTAAAAAAACACCTTTTCAAACTTTCTTGTCACCTCCAGTAGTTTGCTCTAAATCAGAATCAGAACTAGAAGAGGGAAGAGAAAGATGACTTTCCTGACTTTTTCTTTACAGAGTGGTGCATCCCTAAAAAAAGAAAGAACCGATGACAGAACAGTCGACTGTATATAAGAAATGAACGTAGCCCTCCTGCAACATTTGAGGCCTCAGTTTTAGCATTCTGATTGTCACCATCTTGTTTTTCGCCTGGTTAGCAAAGATCAGCAAAAACATTCAATAAAACTGTCACAACAGTAACAGTTGGGATGTTAACTTTAGCCAGCCAATAACAGGCCCTTAAACCAGGGGACTTTCATTAAAACCAAAATAATAAATGTTTTTGGGAGGCTTTTGTTGGGACTTTTCAATCACAGGTAAAGACGCCTTAAAAGGTACCATGCTCTGTTGTCTTTCTGACGCTAAAATAAATCCAAATTGACAAAAACAACTTCAAGTCTTGAGACTAGGAATTGAAACCTTTAACTTGATGTGTACTGATGTTATAAGTCAAACGTAAAGAAGGCTGTTTTTTTTCTTACTCACTGACTTCGACACAATCAGACTCTCGTTTTTTGGTCGTACCAGTCGAGTCGAGTCGTCCTCCAGGAAGAAGGCCCGGATAAGAACAGGGCTTGATATCAACTTTTTTGCTCACCAGACACTGTGTCCAGTGGTTTTTCAGCTTTTTCACTTTTGCTCCTCCTCCTACTCCCATCTCCACCATGTTCTCCACAGGAACGACGGCGTGGTCGGTCACTAGACTGCAAGCGCGAGGATCAATGATCAAACACTGTGTGCAGGTAGTGCTCATGGGAGTTGTAGTGTTGTAGTGTCACATTGCAGTCAGCCAAGTGACCAGTGGGAGGGACTGTGACACGTTTGCAGATGTTAATGTCAGGCCATGTTTGAGAAGCTTCTGCACTGACTTCCCCTTTTATCTAGATTCTGAAGCTGCGTTCACTTCTTACATACAGTCTATGGACGAAACCAAAGGAGAGGGAAAAGATTTGCATGACAACATATAGACGAGGCGTTCACTGTCCAGGCTTACCTTTGAGGACAGCGGTCTAAAACAGAGGAGGCTATCATATGAGCTCCATGTGCATCCAGTTTTAAGATACCCTGCTCCACAAAAGCTGTGTAAACTGTGTGATGAGCGATGAAGTGAGATAGCTGGTGAGCTGTTCTGATCGCTCAGCACCAACATACATGTTTAGCAGTTTGTTCACCAACCACAGCACTAAATATTTCAGCGAGTTCCAGACGAACTAGCTTCTCTGAGACAAATACATTTTAATGTTCCTCGTTTCCTTGTGAGTTTCTCTCAAAGTTAAAGAAACAGTTAGAAGAAGTGCTGATGTCTTGACAAACTGGGGGCAGGTTTTCAGCGTGAATACTGAAGGTGTCTTTTGAATCTGATCCACATCCTGCATCCTGATCCGAGGTGTGTCTATGTGCAGGTGGGGGGAGTCAGCCTGACTCCTCACTGCATCATAACCCGAAGCTGTGAGGAGGAGGAGGAGGAAGAGTTCAACATCTCTGTTTGTGTCGACTCAGCTGTTCAGGAGAAGAAGTGCAACAGCAGCGTGAGTCATCGCCCCTGTCCTCCAGGACCCTGCAGCGTCCGTCCCTCGGGTCACTGCTTAGCTCCGAGGAGGTCAAAGTTCAGTCGTCGGTCTGCAGAGTCACCTCGAGGTCGCCTCCAAACAGCTCCTTATAAAGAGGAGGGAAGTGCGTGCCGACGACGTCAGGGTAGACGGCTCTGAACGCAGACAGCTTCTCTGTGTGTCGACTGCACAGCGAACGCAACGCTGACACCTTACACCTGAGCTGAGGAGGGGAGAGGAGAGGAGGATGCGAGAAGAGGAGAGGAGACAAGGAGATGAGAAAAAAAAGGAAATAAAGCAGGATGAAAGAAGATTAGAATAAAGAAAATGGGAGGAGAAATGAATCGAGAAAGGACAAGGCAAAAAAAAGAGATATCGAGTGAAGAAGAAGGAAGAAAGATGGTGAGAGGAGGTGAGGGGAGGAGACAAGAAGTAGGGAGTGCAAAAAAAGGAGAGGACAAAGATTGCAAAGTAATGAGACCAGAGGAAAAATTAGGCAGGGTGAGGAAAGGAGACAAGAAGTAGAGAAGAAGGAGGTGAGAGTGAAGAGAATATGAAAGGAAATGGGAAGAAGGAGAGAAGAGGAAAGCAAAGAAAGAAGGAAACAAGAAGAGGGGTTAAGAAGAAGTAGGAGTAAAGAATGGAGAGAAAAGGAAAGGTAAGGAGAGGAAGGAAGGGATGCGAGTAGAGGAGACAAGGAGACAAGGAGAGAGAGAAGAAAAAGAGTAGAGGTGTCGAGTAGAAGAGACGAGAAGCAGGATGCAAGCGAGGAGAGGGACGAAAGTAGGAAGCAAGGGATGAAGAAGAAGTATGAGGCAAGAGTGAGGGGAATATGAAAAAGGAGGAGGGTGGGGAAGGAGGGTTGGAGAGGAGACGAGGAGAGGATTAAGGAGGCAAGAGAGAAAGGGAGACGGAAATAAAGAGGGGGACAAAGAGAGGAAAGGAAAGTTAAAGGAATACAAGGAAAGGCGAGGGGAGCAAGGAGACGAAGCAAAGAGAGGAGAGACAGGAAGAGGAGGGGAAACAGGAGGCAAGGAGAGGAATAAAGGGAGGAGACAAGTGGAGAATAGAAGGGTAAAGCATTATCTCTCACATTTAGAATAACATTACGATTTGAGGGAGATACTGCATGATGTTTGAAATAATGTCTTCACGGTTAAAAGAAGAATTAAGTGAAAAATAAACTTAAATTTAGTGTTTATTGTTTCGTAAGTAGAGGTAGGTTTGGAAATTTTTGCATTTCAAAATCCTGCCACAAGAGGGCGTGCAGGGCTACGGATTCATGTTCTTTAAATTCTGAAAATACATTTCACTGCTTATACTTTTCAGGACTTTGTAATGTCACAGAGTATTTCTTTAGTTTGCTGTTATTTTTAAACTAAAGTAAACGATGTGTGTGCGTCCTCCTCGTCTTCTGTAACCGTGTTGTATTCGTACCTTGATGATCAGTCCGTCCTCTCTCTGGTTCTTCTGCAGGACGTGTTGCAGAGCCAGCTGAGTCTTCTGCTGCAGCTTCTCCACCTGCAGCTTCTCCTGCAGCCACGACCGGTCTGCAGCACACACAAGCACACAAACACACCCTCAGACGCTTACTCAGCTTGTGAAGTCAAGATTAAATCTTCAAGCAAACGGAGCGGGATAAATGCTCTAATGTCAAAACACACCTGGGCTGAGGAACGTACCTGCAGAGAGCAGAACGAACGCAGAGAACAGAGCGAGCTCGTCCTCCGACAGATGCAGCGAACACATGCTTTTAGCGAAGTCGAACACTGACGAGATCAAGTCATCACAACCTGGAAAAATACACACACACACACACACACACACACAAACCAATCTTTACACAATCCTGAAAACGAAGCAACATGTTCCACTGCACTCGACTCGGATGAAATAAACATCGGTATGATAACATGAAGAACAGGTCGGAGAGGTTACATGAGCTCTCACCTAAAGCTTTAAAGACGTCAGGACCCGCAAATTTCCCGTCAAAGTAGACGGTGTTGTTCTGAGAGTCAAACATGCGACACATTCGGACAAAGACGACCTCCAGGGAGCCTGCAGGGAAAATATGGAGACACAGCAAATGCTCGTTGAATTACTCAGTGTTATTTGATTTATTCCGTTAACAAGTTAATCAGTTGTGACTCTATTAAAAAGTTTTATTCCTGGGCACTACTTTCTGCTACATTTCTTTCCAAATGTTCTTGGTATTGAAGGAAAATCTCACAGAATAAAACAATTTTTATTGAATTTATGTGAATTTTAATCAATTTTGGAAGAGCCTGACCAATTTATCGGCCAGCCGATAAGATGTGCCGATATTAGGATATCTCGACTATCTCGATATCGGCTCATTTAATCCCATATATGTGCCGATATTTTTAGATTTATTTACGAGTCACATTGCATTACATTTGAGTTTGTTGTATCAAACTAGCAGTTCTCTTTGTCACCAGCAGAGGGCGCTATATGGATCACATCAAGCATCATCACTCTCCAGAGTGTCGAGCGGTGACGCACGTACAGACGCAGTTACTTCCTGTTGAGTGACCATCTTGTCTTCATTAAATATCTTTTCCACAAGAGTTTGATAACTTGATTGAAAACAATATTGTATATTTATATATCTATTTATCGCTAAAGATTGACCATAGATCTAAAAAAGATATCGGCCAAAATATCGGTATTTGATTCCTTTCTCTCCACAAAATCGGTATCGGCAGCAAAGAATATAAATCGCTCAGGTGACTCTCTGCTGCACAGAGAATGACAACATGTCAGGCTGTTCTTGTTAATAAATACTTTGTGTTGGTTTGAGTCTGCACTTAGGACTTGTTGGCTACAAAAAAAGGAAGAATCAATATCACCTGACTTGTGTGTGAAAGAAAACATTTGACGTTTTTTAACCCCTCGTGTTCCCTCTCACCAGCTTTCAGCAGCACTATCTGGTCATTCTGACAGAGATCCATGAAGCCGTCGATCCGTTTGGCAAACTCCACCACGTACTGTATGGCCTCTGTGATCTTTACCGCACAGAGCTGCCACATCAACTCCTGCGGCTGCAGAGATTACACAAGAGAGATTATCAATACATGATGTGTTTAGGTGAGTTAATGCTTATTGATTAGAGCCTAACAAACATCATTTATTGTCCTCAGGGGGAAATTAGCCTTACTCGCAGTAAACAGGCATAACACGAGGCATTTAACCATAAAAACACGTCAAGTAACGCATCAATTGCAATGAAATAGATAGATGCCCATATACACATTGTGAAAAAAAACCACACACATGAATACTAAAGGCTGGGGCACTGGTAGCCTAGTAATGCATGTATGGAGGCAACAGTCCTCTTCGCAGGATCGCTGGGTTCCAACTCGACCTTCGCCCTTTGCTGCATATCGTCCTCCCTCTCTCTCTCCTCCCAACATTTCCTCTCTCTTCAGCTGTCCTGTCTAATAAATTCCCCCCCCCCCCAAGATAAACACGGTACACACACCTTGCTCTGGTAGCTGTCCACTTCATCCTGCGGGAAGTTCTGCCAGCTCATCTGATGCAGCTCCTCCCTCAGGTACTGACACGTGTCCAGGTGAGACTTTGAGGTGATCTGAGCCAGGTGATCTGCAGCCAAAAATGTGACAGAGAGCCGGTGAGCAATGGAACGACCAGAATCACAGATCTGACATATTACAAATACCATCAGGGTGTGAATGTGTAGGTGTGACCTGAGTAGTCAGAAGACCAGAAAAGCGCTTTACAAGCTCCAGTCCATTTTGCCGTTTACAGATGAAAGCGTGTCAAACAAACGTCTGTGAACGCAGCTCAGTGGTGACTTAATTCAGAAGGAACACACGGTGACTGTTGTTCTGTGCGGCTGCATCAACGAGTGAATAGAAGACGGTCAAACAACAGCGAGCTGAACAACGAGGTAACAACAGAAACAGCTCCTGGATGGAGGGACGGGGGAGGAGGAGTATTATGATAAATGTTTCTTCAAAGAAAGACAAAAATCTCCAGGGAAAGTAAAGAGATGATTTCCCCCATCGAGTGCCCCGCCAAGTCCCACCAGGTCCTAATTAACAGACGGCTAATTACCACACGGAGGTTTTAATGAGCTCTGAAGATGAGTTTCCAGCCTCCTGCTATTTAAACAACCTTTCTGGATCTGCTCGCCGCTCACTTCTCTCTCTCTCTCTCTTACTTTGTTTCTTTCACTCTTCTTTGTGGTTTCTTATTCCTCATCGCCACTACTTTTTACTCCTCTTTCCTAAAGATATTCTCTGTACGTGTTTCCCTCCAGCTCTCTACATCCTTCTCACAGAACTCGTCTTTTCCTCTTTTAAAGTTCAGCGTGTGGCCCCCGGAGGTTGATGTAGACATTGTTTCTAACACGGGAGCTAACAATGGGAGTCGGAGCTGTACGACGTCTCCTCATAACACGATATCTCAAGGAGAGTTCCGCACAAATGTTCATGCCTAAGTCTGCAATCGTTGGACGCATCCTCAACTTTGTCACTAGGGCTGAGCTAAGAAAATCGATATGGTGATATATCACCTTGTACTTCTAGCAAATACATTTATGTGCTGCAAGTGTTACAGAATCAATACAGCTGATGTGATGACATATTGACAGATAATTGACCGATGCTGCAGTTCAAAATAATACCATAACCATAGCTCTGGGATTAAAATGTTTGAGTGTATTTTAATTTTTATTGAGCCCCTCAAGGGGAAATTTCTGTTTTTACACTCTGTAAGTCATGCAACACACACATAGGCTGAAATATACACATAAACAAACAGGATCCTATGGACATGCATTAATGGAGTGATGGCAGAGTGAGGGAGCTGCCCACAGCTGTTGGGGGCGCGGGTGGCGCAGTGGTTAGGACGCCCGAGTTCAAATCCAACCTGTGGCTCCTTTCCCGCATGTCATTCCTCTCTCTCTCTCGACTCTATCCACTGTCCTATCTCTCTATTAAAGGCACAAAAAAAACCCAAAACAATCTTTTGAAAATAAAGAAAAGAACAGCTGTTGTAATGAATGAATTCTGTGTAGGACATGGTCATTATCTAAAATCTATGTTTATCAAGGTTTGTAGTGTATCGTGGGAAATAGGGGTGGCAGTAGCTCAGTCTGTAGGGAGTTGGGTTGGGAGCTGGAGAGGTGCCTGGGCACTTCCCGAGCACTGCTGATGTGCCCTTGAGTAATGTACCAAACCTCCAACAGCTCTGCTGCGCTCAGTATGTAGCAGCAGCACTCTGACATCTCTCCACTGATACATGTCCACAGGTCCTGTTTGTGCATGTGTGTGTTTTGGGCCTCTGAGTGAGAGAAGCATGAGAGAAACCCTAACCCTAACCCAGCCCTATCTGTCACTGGTCCATTTGGCTTCTTAAAGACATGTCCAGGGCAGCGTCTGTTTCCTGCAGTGTTTTTTTTTTTCTTCTAACATACCCTTTCTGGGTCAGTTTCAGGCGGCCCTGTAGGGTCCGTTTATGCATCTTGTCTTGATAAATCTACATCCTTACATGACAGTTGCACAGCAGACATTTTGTATTACGATGTTTTTTGTAAAATTATGCACTTTTCCCTTGAAAAAAGTTCCCTCATTTGGCAACAACCTCTCAAATAATTTCAAATATCACAGATTCAAACACTGAACTTCTGATGGATTATAGAAAATTCAAACAATTAGGATGAGAATCAAATTGGATTTAAGATCTTTCGGTTGAGAACAGGTGCCCCCGAGCCCCTCCTCCTCCCTCATCTCCATCTATTGACCCCGCTCTGCTGCTTCCTCCACCTTACCGAGTTCCGCCATAGACACGGTGGGGGACGCGTCCCCGTTGCTGAAGGAGCAGTACGGGAAGAAGCCATTACTGGATCCGTAGTCACACAGCGGCTCCGGTTTGATGCCGTTTATATCGAGTCCTGACTGGTCCGGGGAGGGCTGGAAGTCCAGGTAGAACCCGCCTCCTCCTCCTCCAGAATCTGCCTGTATGTGGAAGAGCAGGTTCAGACATATATAGACTCTTATTGTGAAAGTATTTTTGTCAAAGTAAAAACTACAGACCTTGGAAGACACCGATCCTCCTTCAGGTGAGTTCTGTTCGATGTAGCCTCCCAGATCGTCCGGCAGCTCTGTGAGGCCGCCGGAGGAGAGGCTGTAGTGAGGGGACAGCGGCTCGGCCTCGCCTGGGCTCGGGGTGCCCAGGCCGGGGTGGGACAGGAGGAGGGAACCCTGCTGCTGCTGCTGCTGCTGCTGGAGGCGATGTTTCTGCACCTCAGCGTACAAACTGTCCCGCTGCTTCTTCGACATGCGACCAAACTTTACAGCTGTGAATGAGAACGAGGAGAACTTTAGGGAGCTCATAAAGTCATCAATGATTCGATACATATTTTTGTTTGCAAAGCACCAACATCCCTGTGTCAGCTGTTTTTTTTTTTATGTTTCTGTGTTCTTTTGAGTTGGTTTAATAGGTTTCCTACTCTCTAATGTGTTGTCCCTTGTTAAATCTGTTTTGTGATCTGTGTTTCATGATGCTTGTCAGTCTTGCTGGCTGCAAACAAATCTGAACCTGAACCGGTATCATTTACTCCATGTGCCTTGCTTCAGTTTCGTGATGTGAAAATAATGTGTCAGAAAGTTCTTTGTCAAAAATCTAAAAACACTTTTCATATTTTACTTTATTTTTTAAATGTATTTTATTTATTTGCACAGTAAAAAAAACAACATATATTTGCACAAAAAACTTCGGCCGCCATAAACCAGTTGCTATGATATACATGAAATGTTTATCGTTGCCGTGGAAACACCGGATGTCAAAGACCGCTGCATAAGGAAGTTTGAGCTTCTACTGAAAGTTGCTGTACTGTTGCTGTATAAGCTGCTGTGATAAAAACATCATGTAAATTATACTCAGATACATTAGCTCGTCTGTAAACATATTTCTCGTCCTCAGAGCGGTTTCGCCCGGTCGTCATGACTACGGTCAACTCAGAGTATAACTTCATCGGGTTGGGAGGGGAGTAGCAGAGAGAATCACTCCCATGATTCCCCGCCCAGCCTCGACGCCATCTTTTTTTTTTTGATAGCCCCCTGGTGGCGGAGTTTACACACTGTCCCTTTAAGATGCAGGCAATAATATTTAGACCAACATATAGAAATGAATAACCTGCATTTTTAACACCTCATTTTTTGAAATAGGATGCACTTCTTTACTAAATTTTAAAAATACACTTGCTTGGATTCGAGACACTTTACAGTAAAGTACCGCTCGTTATGACATCACAATGTAAAGGTAGATAAGTGACAATGACACTGAACCTGCTGAGAACCTCGTAAGTTTCCAACTGCTGGTCAGTTTTTAGTTGAGAGGACAAGAACTCAGACACCTTGTTGCACACGGAGACACTGCTGGACCGTCTGCAGACTAACATCCTGCACGCCGTGGACTCCTCGTCGGTTCGGGAGGTGTTTGTACAAAATTATCAATAACTTAATTCTAAAACGTGCTCATGCAAGTGTGTGCCTGTGTGTGTCTCTCACCGTCTCGGGACATGCCCACAGCCAGACATTTCTGCAGACGGCAGTGTTGGCAGCGGTTGCGGCTCGTTCGGTCGATCAGACAGTTTTTCTGGCGGGGACACGAGTAGGCGGCGTTACTCTGCTGACTCCGCCTGAAGAAACCCTGACAGAGAAGAGAGACGTTAGACCTCATTGTTCAGACAGCTGTGGCACATCTGTGACACCATCGGGCCTCCGCTCATCGTTTTCAGCACATTTCAAATATTTTTTCTTGGAGACATTTTCCCGCTTCTTTTTCTGGCCAAGATCCCCTGAATGCATGAGCCCCCCCCCCCCCCCCCCTCTCTTGTATTTGCACAGATATAAATCTCCATCGTTTGCTTGTTGGCTGTGAAATAAGCCCCCAACTGCAGACAACAGCTGCTGCAGCTCAACACACAGGCTTGTTTGGGGAACTAATCTAACAAGGAGAGCGCTTTCTGTGCCAAACGGTTGTGACTGACGCTCCAAAGTGAGTATCAAATGTTTCCTCTGCTCCTGTTTATGAGACTCATGCAGGCTGGGGTGAAATAGATTTTTTTAAGAAACCTTCCAGTTGTTGTGGAATGACATGGACAGGGACTGAACAATTAGCTACAGATAGCAACCTGTATGCATGGCATCTGCATGTGTCCATTTTAAACAAACACATTTTAAAAATCCAAAAGGTAAAGCGCTTATTAGGTTTCTTTAAAATGTGTACACAGTAGAAGTCCGACTAGTGCACACACTCTTTCCTGTGACTTCACTATAAAAAGGACAAAACACTTCCTGCATCGACTCTTCAAATTGGAAGCAGCTGTTCATTTGTGAAGTGTTAAGTTCTTCAATGTGGCTTTAACTGTGAAGCTGTTAGGTTGCAGAAGACGACAAGCCCCAAATATTTCCCTCTCCGAATATGTGCAACAACAAATGTGTGTTTGTAACATTCTCTGGAGAAGCATTCTCCAGAGAATGTGTCTGGATGAGATATTCATGCTGCTTCCAGCTACTTGAAGCTGACCAGGACAATGAGCTGTTAGCAAGATCAGTCACAGGACTCTATCAGGACTAAGACAACCTTAAGATGTCGAGAGAATCTCAGCGCTGAATGCTTTGGTTACACATTCAAACCAATTTCTCCAGTCGAGATGCTTAATATGCTTAAATAGTTCAGACACAAACCTGTGAATTTGTAGTTCTTTGCTTTTGGTCTCAACAAACCTTTTCTGATGTTGACAAGAAGTAAAAGTAGAATTTTATTTGCATGTACCTTTTTTTCCCTTAGAGATTACAGTGGCTACTTTTCTCACACCTGATTTTGTGCATCTTACCTTGCAGCCCTCACAGGTGATCACCCCGTAGTGGATCCCCGAGGATTTATCTCCACAGATCTTACAGGGAATGATTTCAATCTGAGCTGCAGACACAGGAAGAAGAACAAATGTCAGCATCATTCAGGACATTACAACATCTGTCAGCAGTTGCTTCACCATCATCCATTTAGGCAGCTTCTTTCTGAGATCTGTTTCTGATTATCTGAAGGCAAAAAAAAAATACTTTCTGTTAACACCACATATTTTAAAAGCTGAATGCAAATGCGTTCAAGTTTGGGTCTCATAAGAGGACAAATGATTCTCCTGCACCACCAGCAACATCCTCTAAGAAATGTCCTCACTCACACACACGTGTCATTGCAGTACGTCTGAGGAAGGTTTTTGACATGCAAGAAAAAGGAAGTGGACACTGGGACTCAAAGCAGGGCCTGATCAACCCTGCTGGGTCGTGTGAGAGAGGGTGTCAGACACAAAACACTCAATGACCTCAGGATACATCACAGACAATGTTAGTTAGCCAAGTGGTTACCTTCAGTGTTGGAAAATGAAGCCAATGCGGAAGTGACAAAAAAACTGCAGTTTCTTAAATGTCCACTTGAGGCAACATGACAAACAGGAGTTTGTCTGCAACTGTTGAGAATATGAAAACAAAAAAAAATTACCCAATATTGGGTGCCTGGGTTTTCTATTTTTGTTGCTGTGGTATTGAAACAGATATCGAGTGATTGTTCCATCACGACGAAGTTGTATCGGGAAAACCCAACATCAATATGTCCGTTAAAGTTTTAAATCTGCTGATAATATTTGTTGAATCCTATTTGTAACGCAGTTCATGAAGTAAAGTTTCTCCATCTGCTGCTGGACCTTAAAGGAAGAATGTGCGACATTTTACACATAAATAAATCATAAATCCAGTCTCTCCTGTGTGAATGTGTCTCTGAGTCATGACTGTCTACAATGAGGGAGAAGCTCGAGTCCCGCTGGCTGTGTTGTTTTTAGAGCCGTGTTTACATGGACGGGACGGCCGGCTCCTCCCCTTGTGTTTAAAGCTGTTTTAGTCAAGAACTAGAGAGAAGAAGAAGAACATACTCACTGATTATTTGGATGTTAGTAAGAGTTTTTAGATCACGCTCATTCTGTGTCAGTTTATGTAGCTAACTAAAGAGCGCTAACATTAGCATGCTAACACAACAATGCAGGACACAGGTGATGGCAGCTCGAGCAGAGGACAATTTGGTCCACCACTTCCGCTAAACTCCTTCATGTGAACGTGAGTGGAGGTGGATTGGAGGTGCGTCTCTGGAGGAGAGCGGAGGCTTCAGTACGGAGGAGGTGTGGCCAAACAGCAGTTTGTTTTGGTTTCATGCTGGAGTTTCATCTACTGGATCAAAAAGTCACACATTCTTCCTTTAAACAGCAGTTGTTCTCACTTCTACTAATAGTCTTAAATAATCAATTCATAATTTGACGATCTCGTCTTCCACAAAGAAACGTGTCGACAGTTTGTCAGACGGACTCTGGAAACACACCGACTGTCTGACGGCGTGTATTTATACACTCAGCATGCAGCTTGTAACAGTGACAGCTCGGCTCTGAGCCGCTAAATTTAGCAGAGGGAAGTTATGTAAGTGTGCGACCACATGAACGCAAACACTACACACTAGCTTACACACACACATACACACATACACATACACACACACACACACACACACACACACATACACAGTGTAGAGGAGTCTGGAGACATAAAGGAAAAGAAGGATCATTTCTCAGCTGTTTGTTTCCAACACAGAAACGTAGTGAGTATATTTTTTAGACTGATTTCATAAATCAAGTCAAATAAGTTCAAACACTTTCTACGGTTGGTATTAAATCACACAAGGCCAACAACCAAGGGAGGAGGGGGCAGGGGGAGAAACCTCTATCCAATGTTTTGAATTTGGACTGCAGTACCCGTTTTTAAACACTAGGTGTCAGAGTCACATATTGCACCTTTAAGTGTGTATTTAAACAATAGTGTGTCAGATGTTCCTAATCTAAAAGAGCATAAAAGTATACATTCAGGAACAAAAGGAAGTTAAGACTGACTACACCATAAACATTAGGCCTAGCTCTTGGCAAGACCCCCCCCCCCAACGCCCAACCAGCAAGAGTATAAAAGTTATGGCATCACATCGTCAGACGTAGACGTATGAGGTGCATAGCAGCAAATAAAGTTCATTGGAGGACACATCTGAATCTGTTGAGTTTTCAACAAAGTCTAATAAACCCCATATGCATGCTGTATAACCCCCCCCCCCCTTTTACACCTTGACTGTTGAATCCAGCCTCATGTGAACCGACTTAACTCTACTCCCTCCTCTCTTAACCCCACCATCCCACACACACACACACACACACACCTCTGTTTCTGTCCCCTTGTGCCTCTGAGCTCCCCCCCCCCTCCCGTCCCTCTGAAGAAGGATCGACCACCTGACCCAGTGAATGAACATCTACGTGATCCTCGGCTGAACTCATTCAACCTCAGAGGACTCAGATTAACTCCGGCACTCTGTGTGTATTTCTGACTGAAGTCCTCTTTCTCTTAGCTGGTACCGAGTGAAATCTAATCACACACTGTGAAGAATCCTGAAACGGAAGCTATGATATTTTTTGGTGTTATGTCCCATCATGCTTAGTTGTCTGCGTAAATACCATCAGGCAGACTCTTAAAAGATGACTCTGGACGGTTTTTTCAAGTGTCACTGAAAACACTCCTTTAGTAAAACTCCTTCCAGGGTGAATATGTTCAGAGCTTATTGTGCAACGCTGTCACTTTTGTTGACATGAGATTAGTGCGATGGCAGACGTAACCAGACTAGCGCTGGTGCTAACGTTGCTAACTGGACTTTTTACACTCTCACACATACACACACAGTTACGCTCCCACTATGTGGACAAGCAGAGACGTCCTGATTGGACTGTGGAGGTCACTGCTGCTTCATACAACACTCCAATGACACAAAACCCTGCCACCAACGTCTGCGGTTTTGGACGAGACCCGCTGGGACAACTTTGCAAATGAAACGGCCATTTCAGAGGAATGGAGAGAAAACTTCCGCATTTCAAGGAAATCGTTGTTGACTTAGCGTTCTCATGACAGCCGTAACAGTGTGTTTTGTATTCTGCAAGATATTCCTGTGAATTGAGCGTGTGTGGCCGGGATAATTTTTTTTAAATGGCGGAGGGAAAAATGCCCGCCTACATGAGGACTAGGCCTGAGGAAACGCTGTCATGAGTGTGTAAGGAGGAAACACAGGAAGTAAGGTTCAAATGTTAAAATTCAAGATAGGAAGATAAAACAGCAGGACTTAAAGGTCACATATTCTCCTCCTCTTCAAGAAGTTTAAATAAGTCTCAGAGCTCCTCAAAACATGTGTGTGAAGTTTCTTGTTCTAAATCCACTCTCATCCTGTATTTGATCATGTCTATAAACCCCTCTATTTCAGCCCTGCTCAGAACAGGCTGTTTCTGTGTCTGCACCTTTAAATATGTAAATGAGCTGTGTCTGACCACGCCCCCTCTCTGGAAGGGCTTGGGTGTCTCTGGCTTTCTCGCTCCATGTCCTATTGTTTACGGTGAGAAGGCAGACTCAGCGGACAGAACAAACACCTAGCTGTGGGAGTGTCACCCACCTGGGGGAGGGGCTACTGCCCTTTGTGATGTCATGAAGGGAAAATCACATTTTCTAAAAAGTGGAGCAGGCTGAAGACGGAGAGGATAGACTTTTCTCATCACTGGGGGGGTTTGTAGACAGACTAGGGACACATAGTCACACATGAAAGATGGCAAACCCGGTGGACCAAAAACGCTTTTCCTGGTTGAAGCCTTAGCCAACGAAACTAAAATAAATATTTTAGTTTTCCAATGATTACACATGAACGAAAGTTTTTTGGAGCTAGCCAGTTAGCCTACCTTAGCGTAGCGAACAGCTAGCCTGGCTCTTTTCAAACATGACAAAGTGAATTACTCTAAAGCAACAATATTTTTTTAAATGTGATTGTTTTGTCGGCAACGATGAAATATTTTGAGAAATAAAGTTCATCAAACTGAAAGATGCTGACGAGAAGCATCAACAGAGGATTATATTCAGATATTGTAGATATTTCTGCATCAACTAATGTTCCAACACCAAATAAAACAAAGACACACACACACACACACACACACACACACACACACACACACACACACACACACACACACACACACACACACACACACACACACACACACACACACACACACACACACACACACACACACACACACACACACACACACACACACACACACACACACACACACACACACAGACAGAGAATCGTCAGTGCTGCAGTTTCCTCTCCGCAGTAATTAGCTCTCTGAGCGTTAATCCCGTCTGAATTCTACATTTCAACATCAAAGGCTGCGTTCAACAAAGCCACCGCCTGAAATTAGAGCCGATGTGAGAGCAGCGGATATTTATACACTCCGCCAGCTGCAGCACAAACATCTGCTTTGTTTTTTAAGACCCCCTCAGGCTCAGTGAGGGAGCCGTGAAGGCTACTGAGGCTCACTTCTCTTCCGCCTCTCTCGACCACAAGACAGATGACACGAGTGACGGAGAAGAGGACAGGAAGTCAGTATTCCTCTCTGCACAAAAAAATGAGAGGAAATGTTTCATTGATGTGATCCGTGATGCCGTCATCGTATTATACTTTACTACAAAGTTACATCACTTGAAAAATGCCAGTTTACATTCATAGCAAACACTGCATGCTCACTTTACTTCTTTATCATCTTTAAAAAGGAGTTTTAACAAACAAAGCAGAAACAGGATCAGAATGTCAAAGAATGGAACCAAATGAACAATACAAGCGTGCAGAGATCCCCCTTGGTAGCTGGTGAAACAAATTGTTAAGATTTTGGCGTTTGAACCTTACCTCAAACAATTTGAATTTGATCATTTCTTTAATTTAGGATGGACAATATTTTTTTTTTTTTTAATGGACCTCGATGGGGGCCTCCCGTCCGGCTGGGCCCCAGAAAGCTTCTCGCT